TATTGAGGGCTGGACGTGGTCATCGAGGGTGGGATGTGGTCATCGAGGGTGGGACGTGGTTCAGCAACTGATAAAATCATCCCCAGCTCAGGCTTTTAATTGTTAAATTTCACTGCTGTCATCAACAGAGGACCTGACCCTGGACCCCGATTCGGCCAACCACCTCCTCATCCTCTCCGCAGACCTCAAGAGCGTGAGGATGGGCTGTAGGAAACAGGAGCTGCCCGACAACCCCAAGAGATTCGACACCAACTCTCGGGTGCTGGCCAGCACGGGCTTCAAGTCGGGAAGACATTACTGGGAAGTGGAGGTGGGAGCCTCGGATGGTTGGGCCTTTGGGGTGGCCAAAGAATCCGTCAGGAGGAAAGGTCTGACCCAGTTTTCTCCCGAAGAAGGGATCTGGGCGGTTCAACAGAACGGAGGTCGGTACTGGGCGGTCACCTCGCCCCAACGCACCCCGTTGTGCCTCAGCCAGAAACTCAATAAGGTGCGGGTGTACCTGGATTACGAAGGGGAAGAAGTTTCCTTCTACAACGCCGACAACATGCAGCACATCTTCACCTTCAACGTCGCCTTCCAGGAGAAGGTCTTCCCTCTCTTTTCCGTCTGTTCCACCGTTACTTACATCAAACTGTGCCCCTGAGGACATCTCGTGGACTTTCACCGAGGACTCGCTCCGTGATCTTCACCGGATGGCGCTTGGACGGCGGCGATGAGCGCAAGAGACTCTCCAATCAACCGCGCAACTTGGTTTTTTTTGGTACTTAGGCAGGCAGATAGATGGATGCCAAGGAAAAAAAAAAAATATCACAAAAGGGGGGATCTTCAAATCTGCTCAAAGCAGAGAACAGCGAATGAAATCATCAGCAACGCCCAGAAGGTGGTGGTCACCCTCTTAAACCTGTCTCTGAACCAACCCAACTCTTCGGCAAGAAGACCGTCACCGGTAGCTGGTTTGTGGCTCCAAGTCTGATAAGGGACAAATATTTTTCTTTTCTTGTTGTGGGTCTAAGGATCAATATTAGAGCTGGTGGGAATTTTGGACTGGAGCCTCCACCCCTACAGAAGCATCAATGACTTGAAAATGAAATATTTAGTGGGTGAAGGTGATGGGAGTGACGCCAACCGGAACACTTCGGACATCTATCCGAAGCCAGAATAGGCAAAGCTCCTCTCTTTTTGATTGAGTCAAATTAATTTGGAAATTTTTTCTTGCTCCTGGAGGGAATTTAATGAGAAATTTCCATCATTTTATTATTCTGTTGCTCCCAACAAGAGTTTTTGTCTCTTCCCTTCTTGCTTCTGCTGGGAAGAAAGGTTGGTAGGTGCCTGGTTACTTGGTGCTCCTAAATTCTGGGATAATATTTTACTCCAAAGACTATTTTTTTGGAGGGGATGTTGAGCCGCTGGTCTGAGCTGCCGCGGGTGACCTCAACCACGCGGCCACCAAGATCTGACCTGTCTTGGAGTCAAGTTGGGGTTGACAAGATGTTGCGAGCGTCTCATTGCTTCGGTTCTCTGTCCACGGCTACCTCCGGGCAGGAGGGGAGGTTCTGCTGCTATTTTGGAAAAGGCAAAAAGGTGCTTTATTTCTTTTTTTTTTTCCCTTTTATTTTTTTTTTTTCTCCTCTAATTTGTGAAGCGACGAAAGTGAACGTTGCTCAGGTGTGTTTGTGCGGCTGGATGTGGGCGAGACCCGTGTTTCTGAATTTCCGTGCTCCCGTGTAACGCCTCCTGACGTCCCCTCCGTGCACAAGATGTTCTCAGAATCATCTCCGGGGCTTTGCCCTGGAAATGCAGCCTCTGGGTGCTGAATCTTGTATTTCCTCAAGCTCGCAGCAAAATCACCTGTTTACCTTCATCCTCTGTTTTTTTTTTTGTTTTGGTTTCGGGTTTTTTTGGGGTTTTTTTGGTTTTTTTTTGTTTTTTTGGTTTTTTTTTTTGGTTTTTTTGGGGTTTTTTTTGGGTTTTTTGGGTTTTTTTTTGTTTCTTTTTTTGGTTTTTTGGGGGTTTTTTGGGTTTTTTCGGGGTTTTTTTTGGTTTTCTGGAAATCCTCACTCTTTGCCAAGACAGCAAATGTTCAACACGCGGCTTCTTTCGTTCGCTGTGGCTTTTGCCAAATCAAAGTGGCTTTTTCAGAAAATAATAACTGTATTGTTGACTGAAGTGCGGACAAATAAGGTTTCTGAGTCGGGAGGATTTTTCCCCGAATTTTCTAAGCTCTATCCGTTGCTGGAGTTATGCCACTGGAGAAATTATAGAAATAAATAATAATCCCTAGAATAAGAAAGGCAGGAGACACGGTACGTCCTACGCCGTGACTTGTACTGTACTTTCCACAAAAAAAATTCTACTTCTGCAAACTGCAGGGAAGTGGAAAAAAAAAAAAAAATCCATTCGGGTGGATTTGAAACCTCCCAGATTGTTCCGAGCCCACGTGCTGAAAATAAAATCTGAAGGTGCTACCTGAGCTCATCTTCTCCTCTTTATTATTCCCAACTGCCTAACGAGCTGGAGAACATCGGAACTGTGGTTTGAAGGATTGTCCTGCTTGGAATTTAATTTTGAAGAAATAATTCTATATATATATATTGGGATGGGCTTTTTATTTTTTTCCTT